GGTGCTGCCTCCCAGGACAATATTTGGGGGCCTGTCCCCAACCTGCCAGGATCACTGTCCAGACCTCAGCTTTTTAGTTCGTCCTTATCCCCAGGCTGCTATGCATTTCCAGGAAGAAAGCCTTGCTGAAACTTGAGAAACAGAACATTAGAAGTCCATTCCAAGAACTTACTGGAATATCAGAATTTACAAATGACATTTTAGAGAGCTTTCTTGAGTTTGTCAAATGAGCAATATCAAGAAGGTGCTATATAGTCTTACTTACTATAAATAGATCAGCAGTCAAAATTATGGCAAAGACATGTAATGCAGTGAAATGCATTGTACTACCTACCTGCTATGCAATGAGGCGGGCAACTTTAACAATGGCTTGCATTAAAGGGTTTTGCTGTTTTAAGGATCTTAAAGTGCTTTACTTTGTTTCCATCTAAGATAAGACTATTTCAGGCACACTTTGTGAGTGTGTGTATGAGTGTGAGTAAGCATGTGACAGTCACGGGTTATCATAACAGGCTATGTCTCTTTAGAATCTTTGTTCCCTAATCTCACAGGAAGGGTGTCTCATGTTTCCTGTGTGTCCTGTAGGCCCAATGCCAGTGGCAGCAGAAACCCAGATATTGTGACCCCAATCCTTCCAGGGAGAGCTAGCCGGAGCCTGTCACAGCATGCCAAAGGGTGTCTTGGAGGTGACAGAGCAGTTTGGAAAAGGTAGGTGGGCTACTTACCAGACTGACATCTGTAAAAAATAGACCTCATGTCTTCAGTCTCAGGCTGCTGAGAGGATGTAAAAAGCCTCTAACAAGAAGGCTTTCACTTTTGAAATTCAGAAAGGTAAATTTCCCAAGGACTGTAAAATGACTCTTGTCTCCTATATTGATATTTTTTTCTGAAAAATAAATGTCTTTTTGCATTATTTAAATAGCACATAATTAAGTACTAGGGGTTCTATGTTACTTGTACCCACAGCACAGCCAGTGAGGTATGCAGGCCTCGAGGGCTGCAGAGAAGTCTCATCTCTCAGAGCAGGAGAGAGGAAAAACAAAAGAGAGAAAGAGACAGACAGAGACAAGGGCGGGAGGAGGAGAAAGGAAGTGTTTAACATTCAGAATTTGTCCACAGCCGATAATTTATTGGAACTCATCTGTAACAAGGCCTGGCACTGATTTATAAGTTGATTTGAAAAATAAATAAAAGTGATAGAAACCTGCATTTGGTTTTAATGATAGACTGTTGCAGCGTGAAAAGTAAGGATATGAAACATTGCAAGGAAATTAGATAGTATGCCCTGAAGACAATTGCAGCTACCAGCCCATTAATTGTTAGATATTTATTATTAAAAATTTCTTTTCATGAGTGACTGCAGAATATTTGTGCTACTCAAGCTGTTGAGTTCTGACATGAATGAAGTGCGGGAACTCATTTGTTTCTGTGTGTGTGTGTGTGTGTGTGTGTGTGTGTGTGTGTGTGTGTGTGTGAGCACGTGCATGCGTGCGTGTGTGTATGAGTGCACACACATTGTGTGTGGGTAACTGACAAGGCAACTGACCAAACTAGGTGATATATCTTGACTGCAAAAACCACAAACACGGAGGAACCGCCTCTTAACTCGGAACAGAGCAAGGAATGCTGGCGTACTTGACATTTTTGAAGCCATCATCACCATCATCATCATCATCATTGTCATTACTATAACTATTATTATTTTTAACCCTGGTATAAACCCAGGTGGAAACACAAGTTACACCTTTCTACCCCAGAAAATACAATTCTAAAGTCACTGACGGTAGTGCCCCAGAGGGCCTTGGCATATGAATATGAAAAGCAATTTTGTTATCTCACCAGCATTTAATTTATAATGTTTTATTTTCGTCTGGGAAGATCCAAAAGGGGTGCTACTTGAACATATCACGATTTAGATTACATACACAGTGGGTGCACCCAAAGTTGGGTAGGTCCCCTCCATGTTACAGTGTATCTAAACTAGTTTTCTTAAAAAATAGGTAACATGTTTATTTTCTCAATGTGAAGAAAAGAAGAGTAGATTAACTGGAAATGACTTGTCATTGCAGACTAATGTAAGTGCTTTCCATTCTCTTTTTTTTATTCACATTTAAAACTTTATATTTGCAGTTTTATTTGCCAAATATTTTTTGGAAAAGGATGTATTTGGACAGATTACCATTCATTTTGATACGTAATTAATGGCCCAGATATATATATATATATATATATAGATAGATAGATAGATAGATAGATATAGATATAGATATAGATATATTAGAAATCAAAGACACTTTATACTCAGTCTTAATTCATGATTCACTCTTAGGGCTATTTTTCGTTTAACTTTTCTACTGTGCAATGAGGAAACACACAGAGAGAACTAATTTACAGTGGAGAGGGTTGACGGAGCAAAGGTATGATTGTTTAAGCAAATAGTGTATTTAAAAATAAATGTGATGAGTTGCAATGCAAATTGAGAAATTATTTAATATCTAAAAAACACAGTCTAAAAATACAGTCTAGATGATCCATTGCTATGATGTACAGCTTCACCACCCGGTGATTCACAAATGCTGTTCCTGTGTACTGTTTTGCTTATGGCTTTTAACTATAGTGCACTCAATCTATGGTAAACCACTGAAAACCTGAGCAAATGCTTGGGCTCAGATTTTGGCTAGATTGTAAGCTTCCTTAGGGTGGAGACTGTGTGTATTTCTCTCTTTGCAGCTTCATAGCTCAGCCTGGCGCCTGTCACTGATGGGTTGATTAGCTTATTCAGCCTAAAGGCTTCATTTTGCTGAATTTGTGAAAATCAATCAACAAGCGTTTGTTGTTTCCTGTTCTTCCTCCCAGTGAGGAGGGTATTTCAGATATTGATACACAAATGTGGGCCACTTGGTTGACAACTGGGCTTGCATTCTGGAATGGATAACATAATATATAATAAGGTGACACATAAATTCCCTGTGAAATCTGGGGATATTCTACAGTCCCCATTCACTTTGACCTCCAAAGTGCACTCTCACCTCTGCCCTCTCTACAAATCACCTCACCTATCATTTTTTTGAGATTGTGCAGATGTTCTTAATGCCAACCTTCTCCACCTCTGGCTTTGTTTACATTTCCCCTTCCTCTCTTCTGTCCCTCCTGTCTCAGAAAGGAGGGTTTGCTTTCCAAAATTGACCCCACCACCCTTTATGTTGATCTTGTTTCCACGGTCCCCAAGACTTTGTCCTATTACTTGTCTCATCAGTCTGGCTTCTTCCAGTTACTTCTGCCAAGTGACAAAATTAAAACAATTTAGTAATGAGTTTGATGTACTTTATCTGAGGGAAAACAATCCATGGATGAGGGAGTGCAGCCCCTCACAAGCAGCGGAGCCTCTTCTCCATGGATTTTGGGTAAGAGCAAGTTTTATTGAGCATTAGAAAAGGCAACACAAAAACAAGGCATAATTGGCTAGGAAGTTGGGGATTTCCTTACGAGGCTAGCCGACGCCATTTTCCAGGGTAAGGTAAGCTAGCTAAAGTTGAGTCGGAGGAGTGTGACCAGAGTACATTTGGGTTCCTTGACAGGTGTTTCCCATAAGTGCAGACTGATTTAGGTTCAGGTCTGTGATGTGGGCTGGCCCACTGGGGCAGTCCTTGTTTTGTGTGTCATGATATACTTGTAGATATAAACTTTATCACTTCTTTCCATGAACAATTTTCCTTCTGACTTCAAGCAAACTCAGGTATCCCCACAATTGAAAAAAAAAATATATATGTATATATATTAAACTCAGCTTCTTCAAGCTGTCATCATTGCTTGTCCATTTCTTAAAGAATAAAAAAAACAGTCCGGTCCATGCCTGCTGACTTTCCTTCATCATTTTTCATTTGTCTTGAAGGGTGTTCAAATCACAAAATACTACCTAATCACCAAATCTGACGAATTTTCTCATCCTCCCTTCAAACACTTCTCTCACATGAATTAAAGGCACCTGGTTTTCCTTGTATCCTTTCATTTCTTTGTTCTCAACCAAACTCCCCAACTATTGGCATGACTCGGAGCTTTGCCCTCAGATCTCATTGTCGTATACTCCCTTAACTATCACCTCTGTGTGAGTGATTCCCAAAATTTTATTTCTAGTCCCAGCAGTACAATGTCATGAAGCAGACCAAAGTTGTCACATTGCTCCCCAATCAACTCATCATTCTTGCTTTTCTGCTCATGGCATTACCATATTTCTCCAATCTCCTAGACTAGAAATCTTGGACGAGCATATTCCAGTGGTGTGATGGTAAACGCCCCCACCCGAAAGCTCTGATTTATAGTATTTGCTGGTTTCCATGGTGTGCATTACAGGTTGGCTAACTTTTTCTATAAAGGACCAAATAGTAAATATTCTAGGCTTCCAGGTCACGTGGTCTCTGTTACAACTACAATTGACCCTTGAATATCATGGGGGCTAGAGGCACTTTGGTGGCATCTGATAATTTATAGCCTCTGTCTTCAAAAAATCTAGAAGGGAGAAGAGAATATTAAATAACTATACACAGGAGACCAAGTGAGGAAAGAGGAAAGTTGATGTGGTTTTGGAAAGGAATAGGTCACAGCCACTCAAGAGGATCAGAAAAGACATTTGAATGGGAAGGTTTTAATAGATGGAAATTGGAGGTTATCATATAACACCATCCAAAGCTAAACACTTATGGAAGTGAAAGGGGATACCATTGACAATTACTCCAGGAAAATAGGCATAAGCTGGCCAATGTAGGTTAGGCCACAATATCTATATTGTGACCTCTCATGCAGTTGAAAATCCACATATAACTATACTACTTAATTGCTGCTGTAGGTGAAAGCAGCCATGGACAATACACAAATGAATAAACATGGCTGTGTTCCAATAAATTTTATTCACTGAAATTTGAACTTTATATAATTTTGTCATATAATGTGTCATTATCTTCTAATTTTTTTCAACTATAAAAGCCATCCTAACTTCAGTTGCACAAAAACAGCTAATCAGTGGTTTGCTGATTCCCGATGTAACTAGTCCCGTGATGATTGATTTCAAACTACAAATGATTGTAGCTTGAAAAACTGGTGAAAATTTACCTATTAGTTCTAGCTAGCTGGAAAACTATGGCTCTAGCAGGATGTTTATAGGTGTTAACTTGTTTTGTTTTTTTAAGTTCCACTGTCAAATTTGTAAAGGCAAATCAAGTAAAAAGAGCGTGTACAGTTGAACTTCTCAGAACCTTGAATTTCCCCCTGTGTGCCTTGGCTCTCTAAGAAGATGTCTGGAACACAAGTGTTTCTCAGTGGACTTGTCCAACACCTAGAAACGTCTCTCTGCGAGGCATTTCTCAGGTGTACAATTTGGAGAGTGTTGTTGCAGAGATATTTTTTAAACCCCCTGCTTTTCCTTTCCCCCATGTACAATCAGATGCCAAGCCTGTCACTTCTATCCCTTCATTTGCCTATTGTCATTCTCACAATCCTAATTCAGGTTTTAATCCATCTTGTCTAAATGAGCCAAGCTTCCCAACTGGTCTCACTCTTCATTTCTTACATGCTGCTGCTAAACCAATCTTCTTAGAGTCAATCCTTTATTTCTGACCTGGACCACTTCACTGCCTCCCACTTTGGATCTCTACTTTTGCTCTGACCTGTCTACTTTCCACATGGTTGTCAAAACGATCCTTTTAAAGTATAAG